TCAATTAAATTATTTTCATTACGAGATGCCAGTGATAATACATTATCTTGCACCGTATCCTTTCTGCGCTCTCAGAAGTGTATTACCCGAGTGTATCTTTCCTATCTTGAGCACAACCGCGTGTGGTACAAGTTTTCTCCGCGCGATATAAACCTAATAGAATCTCGCGCGAGAGGGACAGCTTGTACGTCGTAAAACGATGCGCCGCGGGTTTATAGTTTATAGTTCGAGTGCCTACGCGACACACGGCCGTGTATGATTGAATGGGGGAAAAGAGGATTTAAAAGGGATCGGGCTTTTATGAGACGCATTAGGAACGACGACGGCGTTAAACGTAGCGTGCGAAGGTTTACTGCCTGTGTACACGCGCGCACGACTAATTTTATACTAATTTCAGCGAATCGTTTCGTGTTACTATAAGGGATAATTGTGTAACCCCGTTCAAACATATACGCTGTTAGTAGAACTTTAACTTTAAAAGAGTCGCGACTGATTAGAATACTAAATTCTATGACGCATTAATGTCAATTTATTTTTAATCCGTGTAACTCCGTTCAAACATGTACGCTGTTAGTAGAACTTTAACGATACTTGTTAAAAGAGTCGCGACTGATTAGAATACTAAATTCTATGACGCATTAATGTCAATTTATTTTTAATCTTATTCTATTTCGTACCCAGATTAAGAAGAGACAAACAATATTAATCTTTAGTAATAAACCGGTTCTCGCTCTGATACATCAACGCAGAAAAATTGCTACATCATGAGATAAAATATATGAACCAAAAGGATTTTGTTACTTGTAGTTTCTACGCGAGTATACTGATTATCGCAAAAGTTATTATCAGTAATTCAATGTGTCAGCGATATACTTTTCATCGATATCAAAATATCGGTATGGGAGTTACAGCGAAAATCGGAGGCGTTCGCGTACTTTATGTGTTTGCGAAATGTGGGACACGCTCGAGCATTAAATTGAAATACCAAGCAGCCACGCGCGACCCACGCATTTCCTCGAGGAGGAAAGATCCGCGCGCCTGCATTCCTCGCGAACCGCAGATACGGGATCGTTAGGGAGAGAGCGAGGTGAGTCACATAAATTCACCGATTGCGATGGCTCTTGCAGCCGTTATCGGCGATAAGCAAGAATTCCTTCGCGGAGCGCGTTACTCGCGCACAGAGAGCTTCTTTCGTCTCGGAATAATAATAATGCCCCGCGGGCCGCGGAGTCAATATGGAGCAGCTGCGATCCACGTAATGAAAGTATGATTGATGATCCGACCGACGCGCATCATTAGCTCGACACGGAGGAGCACATCGAGCAGGATATGCATGCCTGCGAGTCGTGCACCTTGTTGTCGTCGTCTTGAAACGCATTCTGAATTAAGTGACTCCGTCCTAATACGATTTCTCGCGGGACTTGCGTGAGAAAAGTCACGGCGTAATTCGTGACTACGTGCGAACAGACAGTGGTCTGCTCGCGGAACTATTGCGTAATTAATGGACGGATTCGCTTAGGAGAAATGAGAAATTTAATAAGTAAGAAAAATAAAATGTTTTAGCGTCTCATAAGAGGTATGTACTTATTAATATCTCTTTACTTTCTGAATAAATGGCAGGATATTTTAATAAGCACTTAGATTGAAACTTGATTATGAAACTCAATTCGATATTAAGAATTAAGAAATTTATGAAAATTGAAATTTATATTTAATGATCGATAAAATTAAAATGTCTGAAACTGTTTTGATTGATAGTATAAAATGTAATCGTTCAAAGGAGGAATAACGGTTTTATCGTGTACGGCCACCGATCACGGGGGACCGGGAGCGTTTGAAAGATACATTTATCTCGTTTCCGCTGGAACAAAATCTGCCCTGGGGCCTAATGCTTCGGCTATTAAGCTTTAATGGACTGCTGATCGTCGATGGAGAGCAGGAAAGAAGCAGGCGGGGAAGGGACATCGTCCCGGTCTCCGAGGAATTGGAAAAATAGTCGAAGTCGCGAGGTATATGAACTCGAACCTTCACGATAGCTATTCCTCTCTCTTTCTCTCTTTTTCTCTCTCTCTCTCTCTCTCTATCTCTCTCTCTGTCTTCTTCTTCTTTTTTTCGTGTCCATTTCCGTCCATGCGAAAATATCCCGCGTGTCATTCTTTGGCCGCGATAATCGAGCGGGACGAAAGGACGCGACGCGGCGAGCTCTCGCGAAATGCCATCGATTTCAATCGAGCACGAAAGGTGCGCTCTTTCTGGTTAGGCGAAACTGGTTTCCCTGGTTGCGGAGGGAGCGGACGAGAAAACGAAGACGGCGGTATCGGCGGGCGGAAGGGCTGGAAAGGTCGTGGGTCGCCTGTTTGTGGCACGATGGAGCTGTGATCAGGATTGACTCGGGATGATAATCTGGCGTACACGAGTTTCCACTTTACCCGATGCGGACGGCGACGTTTGGGTAACCTCTCTCTCTCTCTCACTCCCTCTCGTTCTCCTCGTCCCTTGATACCCACGAGATCCCCCCGTCAACCCACTTATCTCTTTAGCCACTGCTCGAATTTGTTGACGGCGTATACGTGTCGCGATTACCAATGTCACTAATTTACAATTAATTGCAAATAAAACACCGTTCAATGACGGAAATAGATATCGGTTTATTATTCGATATATACAGAAAGAATTGAAGTAAAGCTTTTAAAATCTGGTCAGAAAAGAATTTTCTGTTTTCCGCAAAGATTTTGTGCGACGAACGTGGTCCATCAGCTTGCGCTACGAACCGTCTTACAACATCGATAACACGTTCGCGAGTTTGAATAAAGCCTGATGCGGAGACGTTTATGGTGCTCGCAGGAAAGATTCTCACAAAGCACTCGACGTTTAGTGCACTTTGGTGCACGATACATCTTCTATCCGCGTACAAAAGCTCGAGAACGAACTGCGGGCCATCATTTGCAGAAGTTCGTGAAAAGTGCGTGCGTCGAGAAAAAGAGAGAGAGAAAGAGGAGAAGAAAAGTGCGGAAAAAAAGAAAGCTATTCCTTGCCATCCCAAAGAGCGAGTTCCGTGGATACATTCAGATGGTGAATGGCGGATAAAGCGCCCCTAAAGCCCAGTTTCGGCAGAGCAAACAACCCGTAACTCAGTGAGTGTTTATGAGGGGGCCAGTCGTAAAAATACGAGGCGAATCTCTCTTTCTCTCTCTCTCTCTTTTTCTCTTTCTATGTTTCCTCTTTCTATGTTTCGACCGTTTAGTCGGCCCACCCTCGCCGAACTTTTCCTCGGGCGATCTTTTCCGCGGCGCTCGACGCGAGACAAAGACGCGGCCGGCCACGGATAAGGACGTAAGAAAAAGACGGGTCGTGGGAGGGCACGGGCTAGTAGAATGAGAGGAGTTTCCACTGTGGCGGCGGGAGCATGTTCCCTGATCGTAAAACTCGGTCTGATCACCGCTACCAATTATCCCGCCGTTATCCGAGTGTTATCCGAACGTTATCCGGGACGTTATCCACCTCTGCCCACCCTGTACTCCACGAAAGAACCCTCTCGCCATCATCCGAATCACTACGGAACCCTTGAACCCTACCCGAGAGAAAGCAAGAGAAAAAGATACAAGGAGAGAAAGAGAGAGAGAGAAAGAGAGAAAATGATTCCACCCTAAACACGAAGGTCCGTTGTTGTCGCCTTTTACTGCAAACGAAGTGATTCCCTCCTCGTAAACGCGTCGTCTTTACAGATTACTCGACGAAGGAATACCTTTCCTTGATGTCGAATTTTCAGTTTTATCGTATTGATCTATTCTCACGGAAGTAAGCAAGGTTCTTTATTTCCGCGCATGAGAAACATATGTATTAAATAAATGCATCCTGTGTTATAGACAAACCGAAATATATTTTAGAATTTTTTTTTATATATAGCAAATGTTTCATATATCTTGTAAGATAAACGATTACTTTATTATGTACTCTTTTTATGTGCAAAAAACATTTTAGTAGGATTTATTTTCTATTAAAATTACACAGAAAGATTCTGTTGAAAACCGTTTTGGCAGTTGTACAAGTTTTCTGTCGTCCATTCACGCAAAATTAAAATAGACTTTGTAATAATACTTTCTAAATCACGAAAGAGAACGATCGTCGTGAGCGATCATATTTATCAGACACGCAAGAGAGAAATGAAATTCAAATTTCCATCGTGAGCGTGGAATGACCGATAATCGAATCGCGAAGTAATTCGATTTGAAACGACGGATATTGCAAATGTACAAATATACACGACG